ATGCCTCTGTAATTGGCACACACCCTCTGATCTGACTACGGCAGATGTGTAATATTTAATGCAGCCGAACCGTGTATTACAATGCCGTTATGTGATGACTTCCAACAACGCACTCTCACTCCCTAAGCGTCCAGGAGCGACGCTTGGTCAGGGTGACCATGGCGTGCAGTTGGGACGCGCCAAGGCTCCTTCAGCTTCATAAACGGACGCAAAGAGCTTTCAACTGATTGCAATGTATTCCCATCTGCGGCGGGATTTGACGCTCATGGAAGCACGGGCATTCGTTTGTGTCGGCTGCCCTTAAAAGGCAATGTGAGCGTCCATTCCCATTGGATAGTGAGTGGCATCGAGTGGCCAATGGTGGTGGTGGGGGTTATGGTATGGGCAGGCGTATGTTATGGACGACGAACACAGGCCACTCGATTCACAACTTTACCCTAACCCTAACCCTAACCCTAATCCTAATCCTAACCCTCACACCAGATACTGACTGGTTTTCGGACCCCCCCAGACCCCCCCAATAAAGCAAAAATACACGTTTCAGAGTGGCCTTTTATTGTGGCCAGCCTAAGGCACACCTGTGCAATAATCATGCCGTCTTAACAGCATCTTGATATGCCACACCTGTGAGGTGGGATGGATTATCTCGGCAAAGGAGAAGTGCTCACTATCACAGATTTGTGAACAATATTTGAGAGAAATGGTTATTTTGTGTATATAGAAAATGTTTTAGATCTTTGAGTTCATCTCAAGAAAAATGGGAGCAGAAACAAAAGTGTTGCGTTTATATTTTTGTTCAGTGTAGTTGGACCTTAGAGAAGCAGAAGTGTTTAGATTTTGTACCTGAGCCAAGCAGTTTAGTGTGGACTGTCTCATGGAAGATGACCACTGCAGGGCCCAAGGTGGACAGAGGGACATCCAGGCCACAGCGGGCTGTTGTGGCCTTCAGTTCCTTGGTGAAATGCTTCAGGTAAGCATCCGAGGCATCGCCGAGAAACTTGAACAGGTCATCATGAAGACGGTCGGCATGGGTGCGGTAGATGATGAGGTCGGAGATGGCGAGCACCTTGAGCAAGAGTCGGGTTCTCTGGCCCTGTTTGGAGCTGTTCCCCAGCAGCCCCTCTGTGTCGATGACTACTACTTTACGGAAGGGGTCAAATGCCGCCCACACACCCACTGTGCAGGATTCTTGAGTGGGAGAAGTTTTAAACACTTCTCTGCCAGTGAAGAACGTGTGGTTCAGGGTGTGAGATTTGCCCTCTCCCGTGTTGCCAAAGATGGACACCACCTTTAGCAGCTGGTCAGGGTTACAGCTCAGGCTCTTCACAAATGAAGCTTCATCTTTTAACTTTGGAGAAACAACAGTTAAGAAGTTAAAAACATGTTTGTTCGTAAAGGTATTTGAATTAGGCTCCTATACAAGTGTGCACAACTCACCTGCATTTCCTCATTCTCATCTACCAAAAGGAAACTGAAAATCTTCTCCAGGAGTTTTGCTCTCTGAGATTTGGCCTCATCTTCTATTTGGACAGCGGGCGAGGCCGGTGTCTTGACAGGGATGACCTCCGCAGGTTTGGGTGGTGGAGGGTAAGATGTCAGCTGGTGTTTCTTCTTGTTGCCTCCACTGTGGGTGCGTTTCTGGCATTCTAGGCACAAGTTAACTTTGCAGTTCTGGCAGCGGACCACAGATCTATTGCATTTGCCATTGTCTCCTTTGCAGTTCTCACAGTAAGGGACATGCCCAGGTCCTATTTGAACACGCTCATGGCTCTTCAGGCGCTCCTGACTGTGGAGCTCGAGCTCACAACGGACACATTGCAAGCTTTTGCATTCATTACACTTAAATGCAGCCTCCTCAGAGCCATCACACACATAACTCTCTTGACATATTAGGCTAGTATTAACTCCCTTTTCTGAAGATGAGCCATGCCCGCTCATCGTTTCTTACAAGCTAAACTTGAATTCAGAACAGTGCTTATTGGAATAGCTTTGACAATCAGATATTTCGAATAGCAGTAATTTAAAAATGTAAGTGACAACTTAAATTACCAAAAATAATGAAAACATCAATTTAAAACAGCTGCATGGGAACAGGGCTGGTGATTCCCTGATTGTAACAACTTACTTTCACACAATAATACAATAAATCAAACTTGTTTTGGCAGCATGAATTTCAAACACTTGTTTAAATAACTAACAGTGAGGCAATGGACCAGAAGCAGCCGTGTCCTTTAGTTATACTTGATATGGTTTCACCACTAATAGTTAGCTTGTTCATGAACCAAAGTTAGCATTTAGCTGCAGCATAACAGAAGTTAAAATAAAGGTTGGCGAATAAAATAATACAAAAACATGTAGGCCCTACAGGTAGCTAGTAGCGACCGAGACAATGAGCTCTCCCTGAAAGGATGAATGTGCAAATGTTGATGCTAACAACAGGCTAGCTGAAAACTGACCCTCAGTAGCTCGCTGGCAAACTCGGTAGATAATTTGGCACCAAAGCAGCAAAAACGTCAGCGTTGCTTAGCTTTCAGCTGGTTGGTTTCGACGGATAGTTGTAACTTTTTCCAGAGAAAATATGTAATTTAAAGGCCAGCTAGTCCCATCAGTTAAAGCCGTACAAACAAGCAGCTAGCCTCCAGTCTGTCAACAGAACTGTAACAACATATAAACAAAAACAACTACCAGTCGATGTCAAAAGCTCGGATATCAGCGGACTGTTTTTGCTTTCAGACGGGAGGGAAATCCGCGCTATTCCGTTTAAAAGTCTTAAAAAGTGTTACTGTATTTGGATCCTTCCGAGCAGTGTCATTGTTTTGTTCTTCAGCCCCCTCCCTGGCAGATTTCTCTAGCTACGTTATTTTGTTGCCAGGTCAGATCAGCTGATCAGATTATTTTCAGTCACAGGGTCAGTGTAGGGTAACGCTCTGTTGCATGATGGGAAACGTAGTTCTTACAGACAGACCCAGCTGAGACGACTGTTTGTGTACATTTGGTGTAAAGTAACTAAAGTAGATATACTCAAGTAAGTAGTACTGTACAATTTTGAGAGACTTGATTATTTAAATGATTTTGCTTTGTACTTCTACCCTTCTACGTTAATGTTGTAGCTTTAGTTACTGTACAGATTTTAATAAATGATGTGAAATATAATCAACACTTAAAGAAGACTTTAGTTACACCTGAGGTAAATTCACAAGCTTCTCTGCAGCATGCAAGGTAATTAAAATGAACTGCACCTAATAACACTCTAATGCACAATAATCGAAACAGAAACATGTAATATATTATATTATTCTGAAATGTGCTGAAATATGCACAATTAGTTCAAGGGGCTCCTGTTGGTTCTATATTCTGATGCTACTTTTTACATATAACTGATTATTCCTACACTGGTACTTCTTCTTTAACTTAAGTATAAGATCTGAATAGTTCTTCCACATTTTCCAAAAGGGTTTTATGTGCTCCCGAAACTTGTTTGCTACTCAACTCAAAGAACTGATCTTCAAAATGATGACTGCTATTAAACCTGATATAACATTTCTTGTATAGGTCTGCAGTTTTTAATAATGTATTTATGCTGTATCTGTTCTTAAATGTATTTTGCTTTTAACCTGCAAAGCACTTTGAATTGCCACGTGCAGAAAAGTGCTATATAAATAAAATTGCCTTGCCTTGCCTTGCCTTGCCTTGCAGGGTTTAGCTGCGTGTTTACACCCAGTCTTAGCTTTAGGAACTCCAACCAGTTTAACCTCTTGGACGTATACGGATTGCATAATATTGATTCTGCCTAGTAAAATACCACCAAAAATATTGCAAGATGGAAACAAGAAGCACAACCATATTTAAGATAATGCATGCAGGGAATATGTTGTTTTTTTCTTTTGTGTTGATTAATGCAAACAAAATGTAAAATAATCGTTGGAATAATAAATTGTTGCGTTACAGTTGGATGAATTGTATCCTTATAATCACAATCCTTTATTGGCAAACCTTAATTACAGCAATAAAATAAAACAAATCTGATCACCAAAACATTCCATGTGGAAGGCAGCTTCAAAGTAATTGTGTGGCAATTGTAAGCATGCTCAGCACAAGCTTTTTAGACAGAGGATGGATTTAAATGGCCTTTGTCTCGTAAAGTAGCTCTTCAAAGCATCAGCAGGTGACCATTTATCTTAAATGACACTTTGTGTTTTCCCTCCATTTCTTCCCTGACAGTAGCTTCAACAGCAGGATCTTCATACTTAAAAAATACAGAAACTGGCAATAAAAGATGTGTTACACCTTAGTGCTTTTATTACAAACAGTTGACACAGCACACAAAAATATGAACAACAAATAAATCATCAAACAAACAAAAGGGAAGACAGAAAAAGAGCAGAATCTACAGCGTTCATTGTGCAGTAATTTTTTTATAGGATTATCACATTTCATTCCATGTGTTTTAGTGCACAAATCACATCCTGTAGAGAAATATTCAGATAGAAATGCATGAATTGTCATAAGAGTCCCCAAACAGACCGTATCCACCAAGCAGAGCACATTAAATCCGCTCTTTGATTCTACATCAGATGAATCTGAAGATTTTCCTCCATCGACCATCACAAAAAGTCTTGAAACGTTTAAGCAGGCTGTGCTTTTTAAATGTGTTGCCAGTGTGCTTGTGCTTGATGGCAGCAGATACAGCACGGTCAAACACATCTTTGAGGTTATGCTGTGTCAGGGCTGAACACTCCAGATAGTCATGAGCTCTGATCCTGTGTGCCAGTCTTCTTGCCCGGCAAAAGAGCACTGGGCTGGTGCCTCGCTGGTCCAGGTGAACCAGGACGTCCACATTGGTGCAAAGGTCTGACTGAGTTCCAACCAGGACGATGGGAGAGGTCGGGTTTCTGGCTCGTATCTGAGGGATCCCTTTGGAGGTGATGTTTTCAAAGGAGACAGGGTTGACCAGGCTGAAGCAGAGGATGAAGACGTCCACGTGGGCATAGCACAGAGAGCGGAGATGGCCAAACTCCTCCTGTCAGATCAAATAATAACACATTAGGAGGAAAAGGACTAACTCTGGCAAATAAATCACAGTCACAAGTAGTGTGTGCATTTACCTGTCCAGCTGTATCTATCAGTTTGATGCGAGTTGGAATCCCATTTACATGAACCAAACCTGGAAGTAGAAATCAGTGTTATTGCTGACTCAAAAAACCATTAACATTCAAAGAAATGCCTTTACTCACCAGTGAAAACATCAAAAGCTGTTTGGTGGTAATCGCTGTTGTATCCATTGAAGATGTAACTGATAACCATGCTTGTCTTCCTCACAGCTCCATCACCAACCAGCATGCAGCTCAGCTCATCCCTCAATCTGATGGGTTTATCATGTCTCTGACAAGCCATTTTTCTTTGCAGTATCAGCCTACTCCATTATCTAAGCAGTTAGAAAGTCCAGAGAGTAACAGTAAGAGTGAAGCATTACTGTAAAAGACGTCTTCTCCACCAGGGGCCCGTTGGTGACAATAAAGGAGAGGGGACACCTCAATTTGAAAGAACAAAAGGCGCCCAATCAGATGAGATGTTCCCCAGCACTTTGTCCGTTTCCGTTTGATGGTGATTAACATAGACACTCCCACCTAAACGGGCCGGATCATGCTAAAAGTCAACTGATATGACCTTGAATGCCTGTAATGAAAGTACAGCAACTGATAATGAGAATTTATGTTGGTAGTGCTATCTATAATATATAGGTTAATATGCTATACTCCATAGATAACTCTTGGGGCATGAGAGTAACATATTATAAACCAAACATAACTTTAAAAGTGTATATTGTGTGATATATGTTTGTGATGAGTACTTTCTAGTTGAAAGGCTTGGGAAAAGTAGGCTAAATGTTTTTAAAAGTAGTGCTATATATTAGCGTTTGCGTATCGCGTTTGTCTGTCGTTCAGTAATGTACAAAATTGACCACAGACTGTACTCAATATTTAACTGCAATACCATTATTTATCCATAGAGGGCGGTGTTGCTCCAATATTGGCTTTGGCATGATGGCGTCCAATTTACACTACAGTAAGTAAGTTAGATGCTGCTTTCAGTTTCCTCTGAACAGACGACTGTATTCACAATTAGTTTCACATATGAGTAGTTTTATGTGCAAAATATCTCGTCTTCAAGAGAGAAAGCAATGTCATGTTTCGCCAAATAACTGTTTTTATTTCATAATTAATGTAATTATTTTGTCAGTTCAGCTTTTCATCACATCACACTCACACTACCACATCACACATCCCACTTCATTTTTTCTTGGTTGCCACTTTGTCATATTGTTCATGTGTTTTCGACCTATAAATCAATTTTCTGAAGGCAGCTCTATTCTCCTATGACAAAGGGGCAAAGGGCACAGCTGAGGGTGCATTGTTAGACTGTCACCAGCTGCAGTTTATAGCAGAAACTTCATGTGCCATGTTTCATCCTGCCTCTTTCAGGGTGATTGGGTTCATAAATACACAAAATGACATTGCAAAAATGATGATATGACTATGGCTTATGATAGTTACTATCTTAATGAAAATAATGTGTGGCATTGTAAGATGCACTGGTGCTCTTGATGGTGGTACTAGTGTGTCAGTGTAGATTATTGTTCTGTCTTTGCAAGTCACACCAAAGTTATGAATGTCATATCTGAGCATTGATTCTGTTTGTCCTTGGCTCAACAAAGACTGCTTCATTGGCATCCAAAGCTAATATCACACTGAATCATGATGTGGATCCTGGTGCAAGTCGATAGAATGTACTCAAAGTGTTGCATGTCTTGCATTGCTTGACATTATTATGTTGTTTCAAGTTGTACTGACATTATTTGCTTTGCACTGCTTACTGTATGGTGCATGGCTGAACAGTAGGGCTATGGAAATAAGAAATATGCTGGTGATGATGCTTTTGATCAAGCCATCACATCATGATCACACAGCAATCCTCTGACCTTATGAGCTAGGCACTCATTGTCTGAATGGTAGTAAATAATTAGACGTTGTGTAAGTGTGTTGGGCTTTTATTTACCTCACTGCAGCTGTATAGTTTTAGGCTAAGGCTACACATTTAAAACCCAAACTCAACATTATCACAGCTGTAATGCAGAGGAATTGCAAGAGCATTCTAAGATGTGGTTTTGGAGACCAGGAAACGTTTGTGGGTGAAAATACAACTTAAAACAAAGTGTTGTTCCTTATCTGTCTGAGCCTGCAGGAAACTCTGTGTGCATTGTGTTGTAAGGTCTCAGCTTCCTGTTTGCCGTTGTTTCTCCCTCACTCGTTCCCTTCTCCCTTTCTCTCCCCCTTTTTCCCACCACCTGCGCTGTGAGTGATAGAGTTTATTCCCCATGGTAGGAGGACAACATCTGGTCACCCCCACTCCCCGACACACGTCATGTCACAATCTCGACTCCCATGCTGTACCTCTGGCAGCTGTGAGTCACAATCGTCCTGTTCCTTAATCCAAGGTAAATGTCTAACACAGGAAACAGTCTTTAAATATCTCCACATCCAAAGAGTCTATTTCCTGTAACAGCCACATTTATGATCACATATCAACCTGTAAGCTTCTCTTCAATGCTACGAATGCATAGATGTGCACTCACAGTATATGCACAGCGCTTTGCAAGCTTCACATTTATCTGACCTTGTGCAGCAGATGTCAGCACTGTGCTGATATTTTGTACTGTGAACATGTTGTTGGTTCTGAATTCTCACGCTCTTGCCCTTTGCATGACTAGACATGCAGAAATGTATCCTGACATAGATTTATAGAGGTAATCTGCTTAGTAAGGGTCTCTCAAAGTGTGCAGCTTAGGGATCACCCCAACATGC